AGATACTTACAATTCATTATTATTTATGCCAGCTCCACACGCTCACCTGGACAATCACGAGCTATCATTTTGCTAGTTGGTGTCTTGGCCACCTAGCATTCGTCGCGTATACAGACTCGGGGAATTCCTAAGAGTATACTACATCACGGAATTACGTACAGTCGCCCTCAAAAAACGCGGAGTAGACTCAAGTTGCGCACCACCATGTTGTTCCCTCCCCAGAACAATCTGCCTCAATACTCACCGTCAACCAATCCCACTCCACCGCCTTCCCCAGGCCGTCCAACCCCGAGCGGCCCCTCCTCCGCCCCGAACCCCCGTCCCAGCCACCTCAAAGGTCGTCACTCGCCGCTCAATCACGTCCCACCTCTCCCTCCACGCCCGTTCTCTCTCCTCCGAATCCAACACCTCTCCCACCCGCTCCCCCCCGTCCTCCGCTCCCTCCCCCCACCTCCCACTCCTATTCCCACTCCCACTCCCACTCTCCGACTGCCCCGCCCCCGTCCCCGGCCGATACCCCCTCTTCCCAAACTCGTACATATCCAACGACCGCATCATCAGCCGCGCCAGCGCATCCGCCTGCACCGCAAAATTGCTACTATTACTACTACTGCTGCTGCTGTTGCTGTCGTGGGTGGTGTGCGGCGCCGAGTGCACCAGCAGCGTGTAGGGCAGCCGCCGCGTGTTGTACAGCGGTGGGAAGGTCAGGTAGGAGGAGCGCGCGGGCTTGAGCAGCTTGGCGATGCGCGCGGCGCGCGCGAGGAGGGCGTGCGCGGATTCTTGTTCTTCTTCTGAGGCGGGCGGGGGTTGGTCGGGTGCTGAGGGGGGTGGGGGTTTTTGTTTTTGTTCTTGTTCCTGTTCTGCTTCAAAGAGGGGTTCGGGGGTGGAAGTGGAAGTGGAAGTGGGGGGGGATGGGCGGTTGGCGAGGGCAGTCGATGGCGGCGCGGAAGCTGGGCTCGAGCGCGTCGCTGTGACTGTCGCTGAGCGGGGTGGTGAAGTCGTCGGGGACGTGGAGGTGGGCGGTCTGGAAGAAGAGGCAGGCGGAGGCGAACGGGTCAAAGAGGTTGGAGGGGTCGCGGAAGAGGGTCGGTGCGTGGGCCTTGAGGTCGCTGAAGATACCTTCTTCTTCGGTGGCGCCGTCGTGACTGGTGTAGAGGGGGTAGTTATTCTTGCGCTTGGTGTTGGGGACGGGTTTGGCCTTGTGGATGGGGTGGTCGGGGAGGAACATGGTCCAGTTGTAGATACCGTTGTGGGCCATCAAGCCGCGGATGGTCATGGGCAGGGAGCGGATGGGTACGTGGGACTCGGTCAAGGCCAGGCCGGCGGCGAGGCTGGCGCCGAGATAGGAGCCGTAGACGTAGGCGGGACGGGGCGCAGATCTCGGGTCGGTTCCCGAGCCAAGGTTTTCCATGATCCAGGAGTAGCCAAAGTTGACGTCGTGGAGAGGGGTGGGCCAGTGGAGAGGGATCTCAGGCGGTTCCTCTTCCTCAGTTAGCTGCCACCGGTAGTTGATGACGGCGGTTGGGTAGTCGTGGAAGCAGCCGGGGACCGGCGCGACAGCGCCAGGGCGAGGCTGAGAGATGGGTGGGATGAGAATAATCAAGGGGCTGCTGGTGTCTTGCCTGTCGATGTTGTGAAGGCTGCCGAGCTGGTTAGGGAATATTCGATATGGCTTGAGGTAGGACTCGGTAGGATTTGAATGGCTCACCTCACGGTAATGTCACCTGTAGATGCACATGGCACCCGTACATGTTCGATTGAGGATTGGGAGCTCAGAAATCTTGATTGAAACTGTCGAGGCTGAACTAGACATCGCACTCGAGTGAAGCGAAGCCATCGCGACATAACTTTTCGCCTTTCAATAAAAAGCCGGATGCTTTCTGCTTTCTTTGTATGGAGATTAAACCTGGTCTTATCTCATTCCATTCCGGCTCTTGATATCAGTGTATCTCATGCTATTCATCGGCAAGATCGAAATTACCTGAGTGATGAACGGGACTTCGTTAACCCATCGCATGCAGGAATGGCCCGATCAGTTCGGATCGGGCTTGTCAATGTCCGTTTTCATGCGGCCTCCACTGAAGCTCTGGGGCGGCAAATCAGGGACCAAGGAACGCGTCGTGGCCGCCTCGGCCAATCATAAGCCGCCATCACCGCCAGCGTGCCTGCTTTGTTCAGCGCCTTTCAGGCCTGTGATCGAACGTCATGTCAATGGATGTGGGGAGGGGTTTACAACCACCTGACTGACCCTTTTCGCTTCATGATCTTCATCCCGTCTGAATTTTCCAGCTTTCCTTTCCTATAACCATGAGACGAACTGTTCCAATCGACCTGCGCCCGGTGTAAATGCCAACTAAAACCTTCGCCAAAAGAACCTGGGACAATGCACACGAAGACTGCAGGGAGTCTCACGCTCACTCGCCGACGACACAATGAACGAGTACAGCGAAGAGATTCAAGAATATGTCCCTAAACAGGCTACGAAAGAACGGGATCATTTGAAGCCTAGGTGAGTATTGGTCTTCAAGTAAAATAAAATAAAATAAATAATGGTTTAGTGTGTGCAATGAACCAGCCGCTGATGAGTTTCCGCTCCCATCAGTCGCTGGTGGTTCGCGTCCTCGGCGTTCCCTATGATTGCGGGTACGCTGGGCCCTGTTGCGTCCGCCTTCAGCATCTGCGCCCTCGTTAAGCCATGGCGACAAAGCTACCCGCCCGGGACCGACGTTGATTTGGCTACCTACATGCGCGACCCGGTTTGGCTGACCGCCGTCAACGCCGTCCAACTCTTCATCGCCATCGTCGCCAACATGGCCCTGCTCCTGAACATGACGAGGCGGCTCAGCTTTGCCATCGCCCAACCCGTTACCATCATCGGCTGGTACATTTCGTCCTTTGCCCTGATCTCCCTCACTGCCACGGCTTCAGGCCCTCTGGTGGTTGAGTTGGACGACGAGTTTATCTGGTCCCAGGCCTTCTACTACGCAATTTATTCCGCCGTCTTGTACTTCCTGGTCGCTTCCCTGATGGTAGTTACCTACTTGGGCGCCCAGGCTGGCCGTTATCCTAAAGACTTCGTGCTCACTGCGAGCCAGCGCACCTTGATGCTGCAGACCATCATGTTCCTCATGTATCTGCTGCTCGGAGCCCTGGTATTCTGCGAAGTCGAGAGCTGGTCTTACCTTGACGCAGTCTTCTGGGCGGCCGTAACGCTCTTCACCGTCGGCTTTGGCGATCTATACGCCACCACACCTCTTGGTAGGGCATTATTGATCCCTTATTCACTGGTGGGCATCATCAGCCTCGGTCTTGTTATTGGCTCCATCCGTAGCCTGGTCCTTGACCGCGGCAAGCAGCGACTCGGGAATCGCATGCTGGAAAAGAAGCGACGCAGGACATTGAGGAGGATGACGAGAACGGGAAAAGACGAGGTTCTCATCCCGATCAGGGACGACCCGCCAACTGTGGTGGCCGTACGTACCGATACGTCGGAATTGACCGAGTTCGAGCGGAGAGAGCGCGAGTTCAATATCATGCGCAAGATTCAGGATGTGTCTGCCCACCGTCGGCGGTGGTTCGCCATGGGCGTGTCAACAGGAACCTGGTTGGTCCTGTGGCTCGCCGGCGCAAAGGTGTTCCAGAAGTGCGAGGAGCGATACCAGGGGTGGAGCTACTTTGACGGTTTCTACTTCGCCTTTGTCAGCTTGACCACGATCGGGTACGGGGATATCACACCCGTATCCAACGCCGGCAAGTCCTTTTGGGTATTTTGGTCGCTGCTGGCGCTGCCCACCATGACTGTGTTGATCTCCAATGCGGGCGACACCATCGTCAAGGGGATCCGGGATGCGACCGATCAGATAGCCACTGTGACCATCCTACCCGGCGAGCAAGGGTACAAGAAGGATCTCAAGCGGCTGTTGCGGACCTTCTCCTGTGGTGTTCTTTTCAAGGAGAGTGCCGAGGAAGTGCCCGCCGGCTTTCTCGGCCAGCCACGGCCTCTCGAACGATCGAGGGCCCACAGCAACCGCGACGTTTGAAGAGATGGTAGACCAACTCGAATCTGACCTGGAAGAAACAGATCTCTTATCATATGTCTACCAACCGGTCCAAAAGAAGGGGAAGAATCATATAACCCTAAGCCGTATCTATCTTCTTCACATACGGAAACAAGTGTCAACGAACCCCTGATTGGCCTTTTTATATTTTTAATATAAAACAAGAACATAAGCACAACTCACCTCATCCCCTCCCCTCTTGTTAAACCAAAATCTTAGAATCTTCTTTTTCTTTTTCATCTCTCTATTAGTGTTGTTTTTCATGT